AAAGAACAAACAAAAGCAGGCCGCGTGTGACCGGCCTCAGGCAGTTGTCCCCTGAGCTCTGCGGTCACGCAACCAACTTCCATGGTGTAGGCAGCCGGGAAGTAACAATCGCCCTCACAATCCGAAATGCACACGAAACCTCTCTAATCCCCAATCAATCAATCGACGATGCTGTGAAGTTACATCAACTGAGGTCATTGGGACATGTGTTGCGTATGCCTACTCATCGGCTTCCTCGACGAGCAATGTTAGCTGATATAATGTGAGGCTGGGAAAGAGCTAGCGGAGGTCAAACCAAAACATGGCTGCACCAGTCAATCAAATCTACAACAGTTAGTCTAAGCCATGTAGGAAGGTGTAGACTTCCCGGCTGGTTGGGTTCCCCGGGACGGTAAAAACCAGTGGTTGGAAACTATTGGTGACATGGCTGAAAATCGTTCTGAATGAATAGCGCAGATGCATCCACTCCTTGTGACCTATGATTTCCAATGAAACTATATTGTTCTTCGTTATTTCTATTCCTTTGTCTCACATATCTGTTTACTGTCTCTATAATGCATCTCTTCTAATTTCTTCTCTTGCTTTGTGTGCTACATGGAGTGTGGCGACTTGACCTGCCGTACATTGGTGCAAAGTTCTATGTCGAAAACAGACAGACAGACAATTACTAACATTTTGTGAGGAACACTAAGTAAACGACACTTCTTATTGTTGTTAGTATTTTCCTTTAAAATTTAATTTTATCTTCATATTATTATTGAACAGTACTACGAATGCAAATGCCTTGTCTGATTATCTCCCCCTATGCAATGTAAAAGGGAAGTTACATGCAACACTGTAGTACATACTGGAAATTTACGAAAGAAATAAGAACTAAACCCTCGAATAATGCCAATAATATTAGTATTCTTTGCTGCAGACTGAAGCTTCTTTGTACATGAGTCCAAAACCTTTACGTTTCTGTATACAAAGGAATCCTAATTACAATGAGCTCTGATTATTGAAAATATATATCCCAACAGCTAAAATAACTGTGAAAATCCAATATAGGAATATTTTAATTTAAACCAATTAGGAGAAAAAACAAGGGATTCAAGGTAGAGATTGTTTTTGGGAAATTCACCTTCCAAGAATTTCCTCTGGAAATGTCAAATAAATAAGTGGAAGGGTTATGCAATTACATAAAAAGTATAAAGACTGCTAAGTGGAATAAGTTTAATGCAAAGTCATTCAAATAGAGCCATTTCCAATTTGCTTCTTAACCACATGAAATATTGCTATTGATTAAGCAACTGCGTAAAGGTATCACTCTCGAAGCTTTAAAACACAGACTCAGTTATATTCCACATGAAAAACTAAGTCACGGACAACATTAAAAGACAGGGATGTTTCATAAATGGAAGACAAAAGGACTGAGTGAAGGAATATTTAATTCCAATTAGATCCTCATCTCTGTCTTCACTCTAATATGCGCGTATACATACATAGCACTTTTAATAAAATATACAAATTTTAACCGATCAAGAGGCGTTATATTTGTTTTAACGTAAATTAATCAGTGTCAACATGTCAAGAGGAAGGATAATTAATCAAGAAAATTAACACACACACACACACGATTAAAAGGCAGAAATGGTTACAACAAGTGCATTGCGTAATACATAATTTTGGAAGAATAAAGGGTAATTAACGAATAAACTAGTGTTCCAGACGATTACGTAGTAGGTAATTAATTGTAATGAATTAGTCAGAAAAAATAATAAAGTAGTTTGGACAGATGTAATTTTTAAAGGTTTAGGGAGAAGGCGAAGTAGTTAGGTTGATACATTCACGTAATCATGGCCAAGGCAAAAGAAGTCGCTGTACAAATTACTTCTGAACACACAGATTTGGCTTCTCCAGGTGGATTCCGATGGCCTCAGGTGTGTGTAGAAGAAAAACTCGGGAAGCAAAATTAAGACTAGTAAGAATGAAATAAATAAATTTAAATGCTGTATTAACATAAACTTTATGGTCACTATCCACAAGGTGTGCTAAGGGGAAAGCTAGGAATAGATATTGTTTGTCCCTTGCTTAACCATGCTGGATTATATTCCGAAATATGATGACGAAACTGCCTAATTGTACACCCAATATAGCTGGCTTCTCAGCTGTAGTCAAACTGGTAGATACACATAGAAGAGATAAATTTTGGCTAGTTTATCCTTATTTCGCGAATGTAGAATAGGGGTAGTAGTGAAGAGACAATGTACCTCTGCTGCGTTGATAGCTGTTTTAACTGCATTCTTCAGGCACTGTGTTACTATTTCAGTGATGTCGTCATCAAGGAACTGTGATTTTATGAAGAGTTTTTTTTACAGTTCTTGCCATACTGACTCTCCTTGAAGATAAATACATATTTTTCTCAATGAACTTATCTAGATAACCACTATTACCAAGTACTTCTCTAGTAATCTTAAGTTTTTCATTGATAGAGTCGTTCACTTCTACATTATGTTTTGTGTGTAATATGACTCAGCCATCTAACTGACGTGAATTTAATCATTCTTCATTCCGCTTAGCATATTTGTTGAGTAACAATGTTGTTTTCTAGTTCGCTGCCTTTCACAGTTGCTTGAATCATATTCTTTATGGCACGTCATCTGATTTTCAGCAATGAACTAATGTGGCGTTTATTAACAGGAGTTTCAGCCTGTTCAGAATACTTTCCGCCCCATAAGTGCTAAGTCTCTGGATGAATATTGAATCACTGACCTGACATTGATATGCTGAGGTCTGCAGAGGAATGAAGGCCTATCTCGTTTTTGCAATCCTGTCTATTATTGACCAACTCATTCTCACCGCCTTTCTCATTCTCTCATTCACTGCTGTTTAAGTAGGTGAAAGAGACAGTTTTCTTTAGGTTTCTCCTGTTGACAATGTTTATTGCTTATTATTGTTGGTTGGGTGCCTCCATTACCTTTGTTCGCCTGAAGTTATCTCTATGTTGCCTTTGTGGGACATGAGATATAAATCAACTGCAATTAAATTGTTCATATTAATGAATAAGAAAGTAACAATGTTTGTACCACATAAGACAATATCTTGTTTTCCAACATATAATAATCAACTCTGTCTATACATTAAGTCTAGGAAAAATTTTGTCCCATAGATTTATCCAGATAAATTGCTCATGAATTCAATCAGTGAGAATGAACAATATCTAGTGTAAAGGGGAAAATAACTTACTGTTTGAATGAACCTTTATCAGCCTTGTTTTTGATAATAATCTACTTTTTCCCATGTCAACTGTAACCTCTATCTTTGAAAGAGAAGTTCATTGAAATGAATATTTGGTTTATTGTGGGAATTTGTTGCCACAGTTATATCTCAAAGTAGGCTTTAAGTGTTGGCCTGTCCTACCCACCCTATTGTGTGATTGTGTGTTAATTCATGCAGTACCAGTGCTGAGTTTTCCTCTAAATCACCTATTTTCTTGGAGTTAACCACTCTTACCTTAGCTGTATTCTTATGTTCCAGCAGTCTGACTACCTTTGACCTCTTCTGTAGGTTAAAGGACCTAGTTGACCCAATTAGACAAAATAATATAATTTACAAAATGAATTGCAATGACTGTGAGTTAGGTCAACCACATAGATCAAACTAGTTGGTCGGGGGTAGTCAGATTGTGGGAACGTAAGAAGTTAGCTAAAGTAAGAATGGTTGACCCCGAGAGCGTAAGTAATTTAAAAAAAGCTCAACAATTGCAATGCATGCATTAACACACAACCACACAATAGGGTGGGTGAGGTTTAAGATTCTAGAAAGTAATCTAGGTATGTGAAGAGAGGAGTTGATTAGTGAATGTTTGTTCATCGAGTCTACACCCAACACATGCAGTAGGAATGACTCATCACTCATATCGGAAATATGCAAAATACTACTACCAATCAAATCAAGGGATGGAAAATAATGGAATTATATAAACGAAATTAGAAAGTTGTGTGAGTACCTTGATATGATTATGAGCAATAAATTGTGCTGGCAACATGGTCACATCAGTAAATATTACTGTATAACACCGTGAGACTTAATCAAAATAAATTTTACTCATAATGCAATTACAGTCTGATTCTTCTTATTGTTGCAATTATATCAAAGTATAAATCAATCCACCAAAGTTATTTCCGCCTCGTTCTACTTTCAGGATTTCGCCTTTTTACTCATTTTACGATAAATTTATCAATCATAAAGATTTGCTGGATAGATCTTGTTTGTCCCTTGCTTAACCATGCTGGATTATGTTCGGAAATACGATGATTAACCTACCTAATTGCACCCCCTATGTAGCTGGCTGCTCAGCTGCAGTCGAACTGGTAGATATACATAGAATAGGCAAATTTTAGGTAGTCTATCTACATTTGGATTCCACTGTTAGTCACCATTCACCAATTAAATTCTAATTAAATGCCCAGATATCGTCGTAGCAAGCCGACATGTCAACCTGATACGGAACACTTCCGTTCAATCAGTCGACAGGAAAATCTAAAACTTCAATTAAAATTATAAAGATTAGGTAAAAATAAGATTTTCTGACACTTCTGTAGGATCAACGCATTACGATGGCACTGTAAAGATGTAGTCAACATTGATTATTACCATTCAAGGGTGGAACAGTTTAACCACACTAGTTATTTTCTGTCTGAAAAATGAGTTCCGTATAATCACGGAATAATTCTTATTTGTTTCAGCTAATAAGTAAACTAAAACTAAGTTTAAACTGTTAAAAAAACACTTGAAAAAATGAAATCAACTCAGAAATGTCTAATCAACAATAGTTTCATGACAATTATGCCATTTCGTCAATACATATCATGAAGAAGGAGGTAAGACTTCTGTCATACATCTGTCAGTGTAAAAATGACAATATTTCCAAAACACAAATCAAATCATGACAAAGCCATTGTTTTTATACCACTATATATATAGAGAGAGCATAGTAATGCCATATTCTTTGCGACCTAGTTTTGTATAATATTATATATCGATGACGTCTGCATTAATCATTTTCATTTTCCTTGCCACATTACTGATTCACACTGGCGGTGATAAGTTAAAATTAAATAAAGAAGTTAGAGAAGTATTCCAGTTGCATAAATACTATCGTAATTCAATTCGTTTTTGTCAAATTCCAAGACAGCCACCGGCTAAATTCTTGTCAAAATTGGTAAGTTCTATTCATCAATTAAATAATTCCAAGGGAAACGTTGTTACTCCAACTGACTGTTCCATGTTTTTTCTTGTTTGGATGTATAATTTGACGGAGAACAAATTTTACATTTCTGGGATAAATACAGCTTTATGTAATATAATAGCCAGGAGACACGTGATCTGAGTATACCTGCGTTTCCACAGACTGATAGCGTTCTCACTGAAACTAAATTCTAACATCCATGATTTCAGATATCAAAGATTTATCTGCTAGGCCACTGGATTATGAAAATTAACTTTTGTTTAACGGGTTACATTGGGACACTACCACTTTACATGTATATCCAGTTTAACGTATCTTAAACTGGAATAAGTGCGCATCTTGGACTCCAGTGTTAGCCGCTACCAATCAAACAACATCAACTTAATCCTCAAGCATCTACGACGTTTGCATAATAGAAGCAGACATGTGAGCAGCTACCAATGCATTTAGGTTCAATAGAAATTTGTCAAAGACAAATTCAAAATAACAATATCGATATTAGATGACTGAAGGTAGTGAGAAGGAAGCCTTAGACCTGGGTTTTGTGCTTGTCGGCACTCATCAGTGAACAAAGCGTATCTGCGACTTTGAAGGAACTCATGTCCTTTCTGAGATTTGAATGAGCGTCACCCAGTGCTACCTGAAGTCAGAGAAGTTACCACGGAGGTTTTCAAACTGGCGAGTAACCTCCTGTAAGACTGCATTGGATACTTTGGTTGGGCGTTAATTGGTGACTAGCGTAATGTGTCTAGTCATTTGTTTGGTGCAGACTGAATTCTGTCAGTCAAGTTTGCCATGTAGCCACCGATTGTCTCCAACCATTTAATACCAATAATTTAAATTTCACCATGATGGTGAGCCATCTGGAATGGTGGCCTGGACTATACACAGTGAACCAGTTACTAACTAGCGTCCAATCAAAATCACAATGTCATCAAGTTAAAAGATTATGAATTAAATTAAAAGGAGTAATTAAAGTGGGAGTAACATGCAACTCTCTGAGCTTGTGCTAAATAATTCGTGAAATTTAATAACTCACCCGGATTATACTAATATGATTGCTAACTTACTGCTTTTGTCCCCAGTTCTATCTCGATATCAATACATGCACAGAAGTTTTGCCTGACTTATACCATCAAGACTGTTTAAATGTATGCGAACAAACATGAATATATGGTACTAAATTCTGATGAGCATAATTATTATCAAACAGGGTAAATCACATCAGTAAAAGTATACACTTAGCTGAGTTTATTTCGATGACATTATGAAGGTAGTTTGATCAGCCAATGTAGCTCAGACGGGACCTTGAACTTTATGGACAGCCGGACGCTCCCCAACAGAACACTTACTTGTTGACCTACGTACCGACTTCTATGCTACAAACATTTCAATAGCTAGGTGAATTCATCTTTTTTTTGTTTCGGTTCCGCTTCATGCCATTCCTCTTCTTATTTTACAGGTTTGGAATAAAGAATTAGCTAAAAAAGCTCAAATTACAGCTAACCGATGTAATTATGCCTATGACAGCCCGTCAGATATGAAATTCGATGAATTCATTTCAGTAGCACAAAATATCGCTGATAGTCCATCAATTCAAAAGTGAGTTGTCTTTTATAAATGAGGTTATAGTTTAATTATTTATTATCTTTGTTCCTTTCTTTTCTTTTCACCTTTTCAGAGCAGTAGCTAGTTGGTTTAGTGAATATAGAAATTATACCTATGAAACAGATAAGTGTAAAGGCACATGTATGCAGTACAAGCAAGTAAGTGCGCTATTATTTATCTGTACAGTATGTTGGGTTGATGAAGTGGTGATTTACAGTCTATGTTAGTTCACAGTAGTGTATTTCTCGAATAACAAAGAGGTGAAGTTAACCTTAAAGCACCGCTAACTACTGATAGAGAGTGATCGCACCACTGACCTTGAAACGCTCATTGAGCAAGTTAGTGAAATCTGGAAAGTAATCTTGTGATCATAGGAGTGTTATGCTATTAAATGGGATATTTTTTATTTTTTTTTTTATAGCTTGATTTCACACCGTATTTTTGGTACAGGTATGGAATTTTCAGTATGTGATATCGGTAGCCCAATTTTACAGGCCGACCATTGATATCGGGGTGAGTCGGGGGGGAATTGAACCTTGGACCACGGGCATGGTCGGCGGGAGTCCTAACCGCTGTGCCACCGACGCACAAGTTTTAGCCTATGTTTGGAAAAGATTAATTTACCCTTTAAGCCAAGGAAAAGTTAGGGTTAGGTTAACCTAATAAAGGTGACAGTAGGCGTGGTTTGAGTTAGACTACAGTTAGTTTAGAGAATTTCGCACGTTAGGTTCATGTTTAGAAAAGATTAGGGTTATTGTTAGGTTTGGAAGACCTTAACAATTACATGCATAGAATGTGATTAAATTACTCCGTTTTTAGAGGATAGAACTTGTGCACTTTGCATGGGTATAATTCAATTGTGAGTAAAATTTATTTTGATAAAGTCTCACAGTGTTATACAGTAATATTTACTGATGATACTGTTTCGAGCACAATCTACTTCTCAGTACATATTACTGTGTAACACTGTGAGACTTTATCAAAATAAATTTTACCCACCAGGGAATTATACTCTGTTGATACTCCAACCTAAGAGCTATTTTTGTCACATGTGAGAAAACGATATCCTCTGTAACACTTTTCTATAGTTTTTTTGTATTTTTTTGATAAAAATATGTATTCCATACACAAAATGCCTCCTTCACACGATTGATACTTTCGAGGACATTCGCTGATTGGTAGTTAGTGGTGCTTAAAGTTTATCTTTGCCGGCGTCTATTTATAGATAGTATTTCTACTTAATATATTCACTTATTATGAGAGGGCTGATTTCAAGGTTAGTGAATATAGAGACCTACCGAAAGGCGTGTATGTAAGAAATCCGTCTACTATTTAATCATTGTGTGCCCCAATTCTCATCAACCGTATTCAGCAGCAGTACAACAATGCCATGTGTCATGTGATCCACAACAGGAAGCTCAATGAAACTTTTAAGTGAATAAAGTAGTAAGAAAAGTTCACCCACTATCACCCATGATGGCATTCCTAATTGTGATAGACTACCGTATGCATCAGACAGTGAGGAGTAAGAAGACAGGATTACGCTGGACTGGTAAGAAGACTGTAGAAGATCTGGACTTAGCAGATGATTTATTTCTAAATGTTATACAAACTCAAAGATACACAAACGAAAATCAACAAATCGTCAGAAGACCTGGCAGCAAAGATAGAACTTCAAGTGAACTTAGAAAAGACAGAGGTGATGAAGATACTTAGAGACCAACAACAGCGAACATAAGTCACTCAAAGGAATACATTCGGAGGAGGTCATTTCCTTTACTTATTTGTCTAGTTGGCATCGTTTCAACTACAGACAATCGACACGGATAAGGATGTCACAAAAAAGAATCTGAAAGGTAAAGAACATCTTCATCACTCTGAAAGCACTTTGAAAATCTAATGCACTCAGTATAAAAAAAATTCGAATTTTCAACATCAATGTTAAGTCAGTTATTTCTTCTATATGGGTCAAAAATTTAGTACATTACGGAAAGCAGTTCCAACAGACTAATGAAGACTTTCATCAGCAGCTGCTTTCACTGACTTCATACTGAAGAGGAAATGGCAAGAAAGGAATATTTTTTGGGAGCATTACAGTAAATAATTGATTTCATCTATATGATTAGTCGTTGTAATTTATATGTTTGTGGTTGACTGGTTCTGTTGGCTTCATATAGATATGTGTGTTACTTATATAGGCTACTTTATTTATCTCAAATTATTCACTGATGCACTAGCATACATTTCGTATTTGTAAGACAGTTTAACAAAAGCACTTTGTCACTAGATTGGCTGGTCAAAAAGACGTGAAGATTGTTATCCCATCTTGACCAAAATGATCTCTAGTGTTTCGCTACACATACACTTAATGATTTATTTATAACATTCGATTAGATCCTCATCGTTGCTGTTTTATTGGTTGCTCTCTTTACTCTAAACCGATCAAATTTTATCAACGTAAATCCTGGACAATTTACGCTTACTTTTATTGGTTTGCATTTTTAAGGCCGATTTTAGTCTATTAGCCAACAGTACACAATTCTCAGTGAGACGGTGGCATAGCGGTGAGGATGTTCGCCGACCATGCTAGTGGTCCGGAGTTAGATACCCGGCCACGGACGCACCTCTTTTATCTCGCTGAGCCAGATATAATGCTGGTTAAGAGGAAAGGTTTAGCATGAGGCTAGCAGCATCATCCTGTAAAATAAACACTGCTACATAAACTTAAAGCCACTATCTTGAAGCCCTATATTCCACCGGGGAAAGTCAAGGAAAAAATAAATAAAAAATAATAACACAATTCTCTAAGTGTCTTATTGTCATTTAACCTGAATCCTATATTTCTAAAAGCTTCTCTGGTGTATTTCAGTCTGTCATAATTTAATTTTTCGAAATTCTAATGTTAGCTATATATATATATATATATAGATTAGTGAACTGAGATCATGAGGTTTGGTTGGGAGTGGCTAGAGATAAATGGATTATTCTGTTGGAGTGTTCAGTTATCCCGCCTGTAAATTTTGTACTGTTATTTGGTTAAATTATTCCGTATTACACACTCTGTAATGACTTCATGAACATATGTGGTTTAAATCCACTTCAGGGGGCTTTAGTAACATTTTGATGGTTTTTATTTCAATTTTCTTGATTCCAGTTAGATCTTTGTGAATAATTTCCAAGTTTACGGTCGACTGAGTTGATGTTTTTCAAATAAGTCTGTTAAATATCAGTTGAGAGTCAGTGACTTGAATTTCCTTTATCAGGTTTCGTTACTGTTGTTACCCTATCCCCATAAATCTTCACTCCATTCACATTTACCATTAAGTTGTATCTGTTTTATTCACACTGACTGGCTATCGTTAGACAAAAGTCTGTGAATTCTAGATAACTGTCCTTCAGAAAGACTAACCGATTCTTCCAAGATTCATCAAGAAATAGTGCTTCCTGGATTGTTGACTCTGTCATTTTCAATTTTCTCGATAACTTAAATGATGACATTTCAGTAGAGTAAACTTCACTTCAATAATAATAGTAATAGCTTTATTCTGGGAAATGTCAGAATGCCTCATCGTAAAGTATTTACTCCTTGTGCAGAATCTTTAAAGAATATAATAAACGACAAGATTCATCCGAAAAAAATGCTCCAGTACTATTTCACAATGTTCTTCCTCCATTTTATTCGCTAACAATTCCTAGTGATAAGTAGAAACTTATTTGAAATAGTGGTCAAGTACTAATTCTGAAATACTGTGAAAATTATGTCGTCACAACAATATAAAATGGTGTAAACACAATGCTTTTTCGTGGATAGGAAATTTAGACAGCCTAGTGATTTCAGCAGACCACCAATCAGACCAGAAGTAAGGCATTTAGTACCGATTGTTGCCAGTTGACGATAAAATTGCTAACTTGATAAATATTCCTTTCTTTTAAGTGCAAACTAATAGTTGAAATTGTCTGAAATGATTATTATCGGTTATCGGTGGTGTTTTTTGGTGGAAATATGAATAAATGCAATATTTCGATAGGTGATTTAACCAATGAAAACTAAAAATAAATGGCATATAAATATATGTATAATTTTTAGATGGTGAGAGGAGAAGAAACAGAAATTGGATGTGGTGTTAAAAAATGTAAAAAGAATTACGTAGTTGTATGCAATTATTCTCCAGCGTGAGTTATTACCAGTTGTTATTCACTTAATTATTTCTTTTTCAGTAATATTATTATTATTATTGTGAAATCACAAAGCAGTAATGCATTAAAACTTCTGATATATATGAGATTGGTGAAAATCCGTATCTAAGTAATGTTACGTACTGAAAACAGTTATGAAACCATTGAAAACTAAAGTACTCAAGATAGCTGTTTCTGCCTAGCTATTGTCTCTTCCGCAATACACACCCATGACAATACCCACTGGAAATCGAGTCCAGGGCATTCACGTAGGCTATACCAAGCCCGTTGAGAGTCCAGCTACTAGGTTGCAAATCAATGATACTATGATTGTTACTTCTGTCAGTTCGTAACATAGATCTATCACCAATGAATGCTTTAAAAACACCCACACTGGCCACAACTTCTCAATACAGCTTAGGATATCTACTTAATAGCCAGCAATAGTCTCTAAGGGCTATTAGTTTGTGAAGAAATCTAAATCCCATAATCTAAATAAAAAATGAACTCAACTGTTGGATGGTGACCAGTAGTGGGATCAATGATGCTTATTTCGCACTATTTGGGACTCGTCGTCCAGGTGTACCCGCATTTTTCAGTGAGTAAGTGGTGATGTTCCCTCCACTGAAGCTCGAACCCAGTGCCCATAGTTTTAAACGCCGAAGCGCTTACCGCTAGACCACTTGGGCCACGAGAGCCACCTCTTGTACAACCGAAGTGCTCAGTCTCAATCGATCCACTCAATCGATGGAAAAATCTAAAATTGAATTCAGTAAATGAATAAATAAATAAATAACGTTTAACCTGATATTTAACTGGAAATTGAAATCCCTAAACATCTTTGCTGTTTGTAGTCCAGTATTCCACTTATGTTTTTCAGGTTAGACCACTCATGGATATTAGTTAGAGAGCCATTGAAAACCAGTGGAGGAGTACTTGGCAGCTGCTTCATCCTAGTTTGGGAGTGTCATCAGCAGTATTCAACCACCCCACTGGGGTTCGAGCCCAGGACTTCCCAGTCACAAGGATAAGTTTTAAATCATTCAGCCACTGGAAACCGGCTCAAAGGCCCATGAATTCTAATCTCTATCGATTCGCGATATTTGGCGTGACCACCAACCACTGTCATTGGCGGAAAATCCATCCCTGCTTCTTACTTAATGTACCTCACTGGTCATGACTCCGTCCTGTAGCAGGTCACTAGCGAGCATCAGATTGATTTCCGAGAGTTGATTTCTTTTGTCGAGTTAAACCACGGAATGATATCATTTAGAAAGCTAGCCTTTTAATTGGAAGATTCTGGGTTCGAACCCTGACAGTAGGTGCGTACTGCTGACGCATCCCAAAACTAAGATGAAATAGCTGTCTAGTGCTACACCACTGGTTTTCAGTGGTTGGTCAACTGATATCAATCCATGGTCTAACCCTAAAAACAAGTCGAATCCTTACAAATCAACTTTTCAAAACTGAATTATCTTTTGTGGGGTAAATTTCTTCGGATGTGGAGCTTTGGTTCCAGTTGATTTGTACAAAATCTTCTACAGTGACGATTTAATCTGAGCTAGCGAATAGCGACAACTCAAACTTCCATAAATAATATCAATATTGCCATAAGAGTCTGTCAAGTTAGGCTAATCATAGAGGATCTTAACAGAAAGTAATACTATTGAAATTGTTGTAGGGCCAAACAACTTTCGTATTCAAAATTCATTCGGGCTTCAACATGACTGATTTTTATCTTAAACAGAAAAAGCTACAACTCAACTCTGAAAGTTGCTGTGTATTACAATTACCGCGTTAATCTTGAAGAAACTATCTTATATGTATAGTTACCGAAAAAATCAGCAGTTCCAAAAACACTGCATGCTCGGTTTCATAAGTCATTGGGGATACATTCACCTCCAGGTAATAGGTCCAAACCAGGAGCGAATACGCATCCTTGAGTTATCAGAAAGTAAAGTTTTATTTTTATTAACACATCACCGAAATTTTCTAAAAAAAGATTTTCTTCAAATAATAAAGTGATTCCATAATTTTGAACAAAGACTGACTGACATAAATGCATTTTCCCTTCCCTTCAAACACAGAGCTGATGAAAATCGTCAACCTTATGAAAAAGGCAGTAATAAAAATTGTGACAATGTGGATGATGCAGAGTATTAAAAAGAACAATTTAAGCTTTATTCCACAAGTGAAATGAACTATCTAATTTTAAAAATTAATATCAATGTTATATTGTTTTTCCAGTGTTGTATAAATGCTTAAAAATCGTGCGTATTGTTTTGTTGAATGATGGAAAGAAGACGGATAGATAGATAGACAGATATATGGATAGACAGACAGATAGATAGGTAGACAGAAAGACCTACAGACAGATATCGTAACTCATATTTACACACAGAGAAGAAAATAGTTAAATATGAAGGTAAAAGTATGAACGTAATACTATTAGAAGTCTTTGAATATCGTTCTCCTAGGAAGGGAGAGTTACGGCTGTTAAAATGTTTCCAATAAGATTGAACTGAAAACAAAATCCCGAGAAGCTAATATGCAAATTCCTTTCAGTAAACAATAACGTAAAACGCAAAATATTATAATAATAACATCTTTATTCTCGATGGTATTTATAAAATGTACACAGGAGATTATTGTATGATATTTCTCCCCTCGTTCAATATCTTCAAGTAGAATATTAACTAACTGACAATATGTCCTGTGACACAATAATCCTTGAGCTGAAGTACCAAATTTTCCATTATGATATATCTGCTTTGTCTCTTCCCTTCAAGAAATCCACGAAGTCTAATTGAAAGCCAATTTAAAGATGTTCAGAAGTACATTTCGAGACATAAGGACATAACTGAAGAACAATTCTCTCATGTATTGTAACACATTGCCACCCACAATCAGGCCTTTCGTCTCGTGTAGTAGGAACTTGTGAAACAGAAGCTTTTAAACATTTCAAATGCATTCAAGACTAGATAATAGCATTAGAGGTCATATCTTAATCGATTAAAACAAACCGAAGGAGAGAAAATATATGTGCGATAAAGAGATGGAAGTTTTTCATAACCCAAGTTTCAAGCAACAATAATTGCCCCCATTGCATCAGTAATGAAATTCGTGCCTCAGTAGCCTGACGAGGAACACTGACATTTAAAACAACGGATAGTGGACTCAAGTATGGGTGGGAATACCGTAACAAATTGGAATTCATGTAAGAATCCAGCTGACGTTTCCAAATAGTAGGAACCGCACAATATGGACACCAATGACTGCCATCAGCTAATAAGTAACATGTATTGAGTAATTTAATTCAGATAAGGGTAAAATAAATTATTCTCATGACAGGACCTTAGATTTTGTTAGCTCACAGACGTCAGTTAGATAGGACACACTGACATTCACAGGTCAAATTAAATCGTAGACTCTTTTCATGGCTACCTGATAGTAATTTTTTCACCCGGTTCATTATTCACGTAAATCGAAATCATTGGGTAAGAAACGACCGGCTATGTATAGAAAATATTCCATCCACCTCATTTAACAGGTATTTTCATATAAACATCACATCGAACCTGTATACAGCATGCCTAACTAAGCCAAAACCTACAAGTCATTCCATGAGGGCGTCGTTGTTTATATATATGTAGTATGTCAGGAATTTTAAGTAATGATTCTTCTCAGTGTTGCGGAAGAACAGAACACTTTGCTGAGAACATTAAACTCCCAGAGAAACAACTAGCAGGTCATTAGTGTCAAAAAGGACTCAGAGGTTCTTCTTCTCATGTTCAGTCAATTCAGATTTACGCCTACGGGAGAATTTTCGAAAAACTCAACAAATGTCTCCAACAAACACAGTTCCTCAAAAAGTTCAATGCATATTTAATACGTTTAATTTGACATTAAAATTTCCATAAGACCCTACATCTAAAGGGACATTTTCAGTCAACTGTAATCTTTTGGCACAGTGCTTGAAAAAAAAACTAATGAAGTATCATAGCTGTGAGTTCTGTGAAATGAAATTGCAATGACAATCTGATGATAGTTGATTTCAATCTGATCACTAATAAGTAAATCCCATCGGATCTCCAAGTTTCTCAATATGTCTAGATGTTTTAATTCTTGAATACGCAGAGCATAAATTCAGAAGACACTTGCAAAGCTTATGAATATTTTACTGCCAGAGATACTATATTCACATAGGCGTAGTTACAACAGATAATTTATGTAACCAGCCAATACATTGTAGGTCAAAATTAAACATTCAGTTAAAGAGTGAGAATTAATCACATAGTAGGTAAAATGGATTGAATCAATAAGCTTGTCTAAAAGACACGAATAGATGTGTTCACATATTACGGATTAGTATACTACAAGCATCATGACCAAGTGTGCCTTTTATAAATGAGAAACGAACGTAAGAATGTCCTAGATAAGTGCTCTTAACATTAAGCCTTTGAGCCGGACGATTTGGATATTGTTTTCAGCATTTTAAATTCAAACTAGTGTCTTACTGTTAAAAATGTCTTTTGGAACTTATCTTAATTTTGATCTGCGAGTTCGTCTTCTACAGACGGCTGAGGCGATTGGCATTCATCTGAAGAAGCCAAGCCTATGTGTACAGAAAAAATTTGTACAGCCACTTTCCCTACCGTGGCAATCGTCACAAGAATGGATAAACAGGACTGCGTCACACCCCTCCCCCTAAACCTATAAAATTATATTTAGGGTACTGCTGAAGAGTCCTAAACTAGGACGAAACAGCTGTCCAGTACTCCCAGGTTTTCCAGTGGTTCTCTAACTGATGTCAACTCATGATTAAATCCTCCATGCAATCAAAATTATATTTGTCCAAATTATTTATTTTATTTATTTTGACCACTTCATCTTTAATTACGTGTTATTCTTGTAAAATTAATTTATTCTATCCATTTCCACCTTTTAAATCTGTATTGATTTTCTTCGTTAACTATTAACCCATTGACACTGTTTAATTATTGTTAACAAACTTATCGCCACTTGATTGGCAAACTGTTGTATTGTAATTCAAATGCTACATATATTAGAGTAGAGCCAAAGATGAGGATCTAATTGAAAAGTAAATATTTCTTCGCTCAATCTTTCTGTTTTCTTTTGGAATATACAAAAGGGGAAGACTTCTGTCAAGACACCCATCTAAAAGTATGAATCTAGCCTATTGTTTTCAGTTGTACAGTTGTGCTACAGTACATGTATGTATATATATATGTATATGTTGACCTGATTTAACGCCAATACGTGAAGAGTACTAATTGAATAACATTAAAAGCCATTATCGCTTGAGTGATACAAAATTTAAAAGAAATTTTTAACTTGTAGCTTAATGGTTGGTTGGAGAAACGTATCCCAACTCTAGTAATTGTGTAACAACAGAAGACAAGGGTGAAGCAACAGATCGTTTTATTATGAAAATCAACACGTATTTATACATATTTCACATACATTATTATAGACAAGCGCAGTCATCTGATTGGTTGTTTATCAGAAGTTAGGCAGACAAACGCAGGCTTCTGATTGGTTGTTTCGGGATTCCTCGACAAATAGAGTTCTCTATCTGCGAATCATGTTTTGCCACGTTAACTTTGCTGTGATTGGTTGTTGAATCAGCCTTGTTCATATTTTCTCACGGCCCATATTAACGTAGATTAGTGTCAACCAATTGGCTAGCAGCCTGCTCTCACCACAATAGTATATATTTTTACAATGACTCACAGTACTATTCCATAATATCATTCAGGAGGGGAAACAAAGGAAGAGCATGGAATATAAAACCTTTCTAACGACCAATCTATCATTCGGAAGAGTGAAAAGAGTACAATCTATTAACGAGATCCAAGATACCAAAATCATTAATAACACATAGAACAACTCTATAGCTACTGCTGAATGCGCTGGGTTAACCTGGTTACATTGCTGATGTATTCATCCCGAAACGAAGGAAACAACTGCCAAACAACTTTCAGATCATTTGCTGTCTGACTAACAAGTGCTATGGATAGCCTTAAGGTAGTATAATTCATTTTGCTAAGAATAGAGTAGATCTGAATGAATATCAAATGAATACAAATGTAAGTGTATACAAACTTTCAGCAAATAATACTTCATAAACAATCGGTTGAGAAACTCAGCCTCCTGGAAATCGAATAAACATTGGTCTAAACCTTCGAATGTGATAATGAGTTCAAGTCAGTACAGTTCCAGAAGGCTTTCCGTATTCCCAAAATATCGACAGTGATTACGAGTTAAGTATTTAGAATCGAGTATTTATAACAAAATTCGAAGTACGGCAAATCTTTTCGATGGTGTTATACACATCATATTTGCATATACATATACTGGCTTACGATTTGATGGTATGTTGTAATTATTTGTAATCGTAGTATTAGTATTTCGAGATGACCGAATTACAAGAATCCAACCAAAACAAAGAGAGGACGGAATTCAGGAATTTGTATTTAGCGGAATTATTATTCAGTTCCCATAAGAAATATATTAACAATCAACAGTAAGTATTTAAACAATACAGAGATAGAAATTGTCAATCACCACATGGTAACACACTCTCTTTGCGATATGTGGGTGTCGCCTCCAATTCCTGATGGCCTAATAGATGCATGTTGGTAAACACTCCTACATCACTATGACGCAGCCATCGAAAACCCCATAGTTTTCACTTGTTCAATAACTGATCTCAATTGTGGATGAAAATTTCCCAGAGTACACCACAAGTCTAGAAATATCCACCTGAACATAGCAGAAATCTTCATACAGGATTGGCAGCATTTCAATGCGTAGTCTGAAATTTTGAAGTTATTCGCATTAACAAATAAATAGAACTGAATAGAACAGAAGGAAAACTCCTAAAGATGTGGATTTTAAGCGTGGATGATTTATGCCTAATGTCACACAAACTCGAAGACTTGCAGGCGATGATGAAGAGGAGGTGATGAAGATAACCAACCAGCCAACAGTAATAACAGCCAGCGCCATTCACCATCATCAACGAGAGATATTTGACAGAGGTTACTTCGTTCACTTATCCAGCTAGGGAGCACCCTTTCAGCCGCAGGCAGGCGGAGAGCGCAAATTAAGATGTCAAAACCAGCCAGCCAGAATCGGAAAGGTGAGATATGCCTTCATCAACCTGAAGCCGGTTTGCA